AAATCCATTCATGTCTGGTTAGTGCTTCTCCTCTGGCCTGTATCCTTCGTCTCCATGATCTGCATTCACTCTCTCTCTCTCAAATGGTCCGTTGTATTAATTCAGCAGGGGTACAGACATGCAGTTCTATCCATGATAACCTCAATCCCATAAGCCCATCAACTCACCCCTCTTCCCCTCCCCTCCCCCTGAGTGACCCTCTAGCCCTCCAGCGTGTGGAGGATGTCCCCCAGGTGCAGCGGCCAGGGGTCCGCTGCCATCTGGGGGTGTGCTGCCTCAATCCCAGCCCTGGCCTTGGTGTGCAGGGCGTTCGCCTGGGAGCGCTGGAGGGCCACTGACCAGCGCTGGCTGAAGTGGCAGGCCATCTTCTTGGCGGATTTCGCCAAGGGGCTGGCCCTGAAGCGGTTCCTAGCTGCTGCTGTGGCCAGCAGTTTCAGGAACGCCGTCGTGGGGGGCGCGTTTGCCCCATAGGTCTCGACGGCCAGGGCGTAGAACACCAGTGTCAGTGTGTCGTGTGTCGGTAGTAGTCCCTCTCCTTCCGCTTCTGTGCCTCCCTTGCATCCCAACCTGGGGGTTTGCGGGCCGTAGGGTCTCGGTTCTGCAGCACAGGGTCAGTGATAGTGGTGTCTGTGATCCAGGTCTCTCCGCTGTCCGGGTCTTGTACAATCACATCTGCCTTCTTCGGGTCATCCGGAGGTGAGTACATCACATTCTCCAGGTATACCACCAGCTGCGCCTCCCTCGTCATTTTAGCCATGGCGAAGGCCAGCTGGTTGTGTGTGCGCGTCCTGTTGGGGCCTGTGCTGCAGCGGAGTAAGTGGTTGGGTAGGCTGCAGTCGGCTATGAGTTCTCCGCACTCGCACACGGTTGGTACATTCTGTCGGATGCCCATGCGGAAGGCCAGGGCCGCTCGGAACTGTCCCGGTGAGAAGCAGAGGTCCGGGGTCAAGGGTAGTGCCTGCAGCCACGCTCCCGCTCCCTCTCCTCTCAGGCTGACTAGGCGGAGTGTGTGGCCCATCTCGGGGGCTGACTGTATTGCGCGTGACTCCCTCTCTTAGGGCGTCGGCCTTTGCCTCCGGCCGTGCACTTCCTGGGAGAGGGGCGCGCTGCAGCTGGTCCTCGGGACGGGGTTTGCTGCTCCTCCCCGTAGGTTTTGTGTAGCGCCAGCGGTGGCAGTCGCCCCTCCACTGTCCTGGATGGTCCACGGAGTGCCTGCAGACGGCATGCAGGGCTGTTGCCTGTCGGCCCCCAGCGGCCGCGGTTGCCAGTAAGTCCAGGGAGCGGAGCAGGCGCAGCGGCCTGCTGTTGTAGATTGGCAGGTAGGCCGGTGCTGCTTCAGTTGTGGGGTCCGTAAGGCCCAGTCCGCCTATGGCTACTGGGAGAGTTGGCTGTCGGAGAAGGAAGTTGAACTCGGCTTGTCGGCGTGGCAGTTGAATGCTGGCGTCGGTCAAGGCAGTGTTCAGAAATTCGGCGCACACATGTGTGCCAGTCCGAGAGCGGTAAGACGTCAGGCTGGGGTAGTGCGCAGCAGGTAGCCGACTCTGCGGCTGATGCAACGAGACAGTAGCAGGAGGGCGTGTTGTGGGTGGATGGACGCCAGAGAGCCCAAGGGGGCTGCCGCGTCTGTCAGGGTGCTGCGGACAAAATCAGAGCAGAAGCTCTGCGACCCCACTGGACTTCCCAACACCCGCACCCCCTCGCGGGTGAGGGGAAGGCCCATGGGGAGTACGTCCCCTCCTAGCGGCACGGTGGACCACGCCGACGACTTCCTAAAGTTGCAGGTGAGACTGTCCTGTGCCAGCAGCGGCGTGAGCTCTCTGAGCACTTCCAGCGTCGCCGCCGCGGGTCCAATCATGGTTATGTCGTCCGCGTAAGTGAGGACCGTGACTTCGGGGTGCTCCGCTGCTACGTGCCTGAGGTGCTGCTGGATAGACGCTGCGAATAACAGAGGTCCGAGGGGATCCCCCTGTCTGACTCCCCTTCCGCTGGTGAGTGCGGTGGAATTGAAGCATGGGTCCAGCAGCAGTGGTGAAGATGCTGCGTAGAAAGAGCGTGTGAAGGGGATTAGGGGAGCTAGTGGGGAGCCGATGAGTGCGTTGAAGAACGCGCTCCTCTCTACTGAGTTGAACGCGTTCTCAATGTCGAGCTGGAGTACTAGGCTGGAGGGCTGCACCGTGGTGAGGTCTCGGACAGCATGGATGACAAATTCTGCACCTTCAGGGACTGCCACGCCAAATTGCTGAGGTAGGAAAAAATTTCGCGTTTCTCCTTGCAGATCTGAGAGCGCCACCTTCGCCGCCAGCCTAAGCAATGACTCTCCAATCGCAATGGGATGTACCCCCCCCCCCTGGTTTGGCGAAGGCTATAAGGCGGGACGGGGCAAGTAGTGCTGCGTCTTCAGTGGAAAGATTTGTCGAGAGAAGATGCGTAACGGCGGAGTGGAGGTGCCCTAGTACCTCGATGTTACTTAGCGCTGGATCGCGGTAGTGTTCGAAAGTTGACCCCGATGGGCCAGCCCCAATTCCCCTGGGGCATTCTTCAAGGACGTCGGAAAAGCGTTCCAGAGTGGTTGAGAATTGCGTGGGTGTGGTGTAGGAATGCACCCACTCGGGCAGGTCATTTTGGGGTTGGGGGTGTTTCGATTCCAGCTGCTGTAGTGTCGCAATTGTCGCAGGTGCTGAAGGCGAGGGTTGTAGGGCTGCTAACGCCTTTCGCAGGTTACCCCGTTTCACCAACCCCTCCGCACGTGAGCAGATTCCCAATGGGTCACGTTGGTGCTGAGGTGGTTCGGCCAGGTGCATTGACCCCAAGTAGTCAGTGTACAGCTGGGTCCAGAGGCCACATCGGAATAGATGCATCTGCTCCCCGCAGTAGTTTCCATCTAGAGCTGGATCTCCGGCTAAGTCTTAGCGTGAGACGTGGCAGGAACATGAGGACCCGCCATGCTCCCGCGCAGTTAGGCAACTTGGAGATCCGAAGTAGGGCAGCCAGCATACAGGTGGAGTAGTCGCTGAGGATCTGCGGCGGCAGTCGGCGGACGATTGGTAGGTGGGTGGTGGAGGTTAGGAGTGTAAGGTCCCAAGTCATCGCGATCTGGAAAAGATCCTCCCACGAGGCCAGCTGGGACGCCGATAGTGCCTGGTCCGGGGGAAGCTGAGCCCTGCGATGCTGTCTGCGGCCGGTTCCTCTCTCCTGTTGCTGCGCTTGCCCCTCTCCTTGTTCCGCGTGAGGTGAGGCGGGATCGTCTGGTTGCCTCAGATCGGACGGTATATAATCGTCTCCACTCCCCTCTGTGTTGATATCCCTGTTTCTCCCCGCTTGCGCTGGTGTTCCTCCCCTCGCCCCCCACCTGGCGAATGACTGGCGCGTGACTCGTTCCGCCGGCTCCCCCAACCAGATTGGGCTCGGCAACTGGCAGGGCGGTCCCCTTCCCGCTTGGCCTGTGCTCCTCTGCCCTCCGCGCGCTCCTCTCGCCCGCCTCTCCCCTGCGTGCTTCCCCGTCCGCTCCGCGGGGTAGTTGCCACAGGTTCCGCTTGTTGCGCCTGGGAGATCGGCGTTGTCGGCTCCTCGTGTGCCAGTGAAGCGTCTTGAGCGTTGGCCAATGGATTTCCTTGGCGCTCTTGGCCGCGACTGCACCGCGGAGAGCGATCCTGCTCCCCGTCCGCTTCCTTCTGCACGCCCTGCCGCGAGCGTGCCTGTTGCTCCGCCGGCGTCCGCTGACCAGATCCGCCGCCGCTTCGAGGACCAGCGGCGCGAGTTGGCTCCGCGCGCGGGCAGGTCCTTGTCACCGCGGAAGCCCCCGCGCGCGGGGTTCGTCTTGCGACCCGGCGCAGAGGCTGTGGCGCACCAGGAGCGTTCGCCTCGCTGTCGCTCATCGGCAGCTCGCAACGATAAGCGGGAGAGCCGCCGCGATGATCGTCACGGTGCGGCCCGTTCGCCGCTGTCGCCTCGTTCGCCTCGTCGCGTGGCGTCGCGAAGCCGATCCCGTGACCGCTGTTCGCATCGTCATCGTTCGCCCCCTCACCGTTCATCTCGCCAGCGGTCGCCTGCCCGCCAGACGTCTGGGCGTCGGCCCCCAGCTCCGCGTTCGCCCCCTCCTGCTAAGCGCCAACGGCTCTACTCCCCTCGTCACGGGGACCGTTTTCCTGGCCGCCAGCGTCAGCAGGGCCCATCTCGCCCGTAGTCGCCTGTGCGCTCGAGCGCAAGTGGGCGTGCGCATCGTGGGCGACGGGGGGGTGACAGCCGCAGCGGAAAAGCGCGTCCAGCGCCGTCTGCAATGGAGCGCCGTCTTCTGGATAGGCTTGATGACGTGGAGAAGGAGCTTCGTCGCTCGCGTGCGCGGTCGGCGTCACCATCAGCTCCTCGCGCTGCTCCCGTCGTCCCTCTCTCCGTGCTCCTGCCCCACAATCCCTTTGGATCCCCGGCGCGTTCAGAGCGGCCGCTGCCTGCAGGGATGGGCTTCGTAGGTGCTGGTGGCGGGCCGCCGTGGGCTCAGTTTGCTCCGCCGCGTCCTCTTCCTGCTCCGCGTGATCTCGCCGTGTCGTCTCACTGTGCCCGTGCGTCTGCGTTACTTCCGCCGATGAAGGAAGTTCCCACGGCGACCCTGGCCCGCCTATGGTCGCTGGCGGCGTCCCTGCAGAGCCTTGAGCGGATTCTCCAGGAGTCATTTGACTCCATGCCGGTGAGCCCTCAGAGCAGGTTCTTTCAGAAACCGCGAGCAGATTGTCATGCGGCGGCGTCAGCGCTATTCGCGCTCGTAACACCACTGCAGGTAGCGCCCTCGCCGGGAGCAACCTCGGCCAGCCAGCTGGCTGACTCGGCCCTGGCTCTGAGGACGCTTGTAGCAGGCCCTGGTACTCCTGTTGACGTTGTAGGCGCCACCGTGTCTGTGGTCCGCCAGTTTGTGGCTGAACACGAGCGGAATGCTCGCTGCGGTAGAGGGGGACCGCATGTAGGCGCTCCCCCCTTGCGCGTATAGACCCGTTCCATCCTCTACTTGCTAAGTGTCTATGCTTGCTTTGTTTGTATCGGTTGCCTAAGCTACTACTGCTTGTTGTTTCCCCTTGCCATCCCTAACGCACGGCCGAAGGCCGCGCACGCGAGCGCCGGCGGCAGCGCCAAAATTTTCAGCACTAACTGAAAGAATGAGAGATGGAGAGGCCGCCGTGGCCTTAAGTAGTCATGGCAGAGGGCAGAAAGCAGAGGGCAGAGGGTAGAAGGGGAGAGGCTAATCCTCTCTCTCTCTCTCTCTCTCTCTCTCTCTCTCTCTCTCTCTCTCTCTCTCTCTCCTCTCTCTCTCTCTCTCTCTCTCTCTCTCTCTGCTCTGTCCGTGTGATGCTGCTCGCATCCTTCCCTCCCCGCCTTTTGCCCCACACTCCCCTGGGCCCCATCCATGCCACTGCACTGCCTCTCTTGCTGCTCCTCTTGCTGCCTCTCTTGCTGCCTCTTCCACTGCCTCGGTGCTACCTCTGCAGGATATGTGGAAGCGCAACGAGAGGCCCAAGGCAGTGGAGGACGATGACGAGGGCGGTGAGGACGGCAGGGGAGGGGGGAGGAGCCGCAAAGACAGGGAGAAGGAGAGGCGCAGGGAGAAGAAACGGGAGAAGCACAGAGACAGGGATAGGGAAAGGGATAGGGAGCGAGAGGGGGAGGAGGACGGGGAGAGGAGGGAGAGGAGGAAGGATAAGAAGCGGAAGAAGAAGAAGAAGCATCGCGAGGGGAGGGACAGGAGCAGGAGCAGGAGCAGGAGTGACAGGGACGAGGGGGGTGAGAGGGACGGGAGAGACGAGAGGGACGAGAGGCATGAGGATGAGAACCCGTGGGCTCCGATGGGGAGAGAGGGGGTGGAGGGGAAGGGTCGGGAGATGAGGGAGGGAGTCCGAGGGGAGAGAGGAGGGGGAGAGGTGGAGGAGGCGAGGGGGAGGAGGAGGATGCCCTGGCTGCAGCTGGGCTGGTGGATGAGGAGGAGGAGGGAGGGGATGCACGGGGGGACGGCAATGACCAGGTGGGTGTGGCTCCCTCTGATCTTCTGCGCATAGTCCGCCTGTCCCCTGCTTCTTCCGTGCTCCCTTGGTCCTCTCGTTTCAGACCTGCTTGCTTATGTTTCATCCCTAAATATTTCTTACCGTACGTGTCTGTGCGTGTCCGTGCGTGTCCCTCCTGGCATGGCAGGGAGCCCCCGCTCGCAAGCGGCGCCGGCAGCTGGCAGATTCGGATGAGGAAGAGGCTGGTGGCGGTGCTGAGAGGGAGACACATGTGGTGGGCAGTGCGCCTGATGGCGGGGAGGAGGCACCCCCACCCCCCACAGGCGAGGCAGAGGGCATGCAGGAAGGGTGAGGAAGAGGCAGGTGGCGGTGCTGCTAGCAAGGCGCTTGAGGGGTTCTGCGCGCCAGCCCGCCAGCCCGCCAGTCCGATCTGATGGGACGCCATGTCTTTTTTCGTGCATAGAACCACGGGTGCGCGCACGCTCCCACTTACAAACACCTCCCATTTGGTTTACAACAGAATTTCTTCAATGTTGTGCATGGAAAATGCAAGTACCGTAGGTTTACAAGAAGGTGTGTTGTATTACCGGTACGTCCACCATTTCAAGCGTCGCCTGTGTGTTTTACTGCGCGTATGACTAGTTCATTGCAATATTATACCTTCAATGACAATATCCGATTTTTGTTTGGCAATCGCATGTACCTACGTGAAACTTAGGATGGGAGCTTAAACTTTGCAGGCATACTCTTATCATTCATTTGAGTGGGATGGATCAGGTGTAGTGAATGAGGAATAATGGTGCATCTGCTGACATAGTTCTGGTACAAACATGCTTCGGCAATATCTTTGGTGTGTTGTGCAAAACAACACGTCACCCATTGGATAGACAAAGCATCATTTCATGTCGACATGAAAGTTGCGCTCGGCCGTTCGATCAACCCGGTAGCTTGCAGATCGACAACCATCATCATGATATCATGCGCCATGTGGCAAATACAAGATGTCATGGCATTTGTGTCAAAAGCAAGCGCTTCTGACATCGGTTCCCCGCGCAAATGTTGCCGGCGGCCCAAATTGTTCATGCTTTTAAAAGTTGACCAGAGGGAGTTTTTCTGGTGTGGGCTTTGGCGAGAGTTTCCGATTTCGTCTAGGTTCGTTTTTTTCGCGAGACCCAGCCAACCCTCGGTTTCCCCCTGGTGAGTGAATCTGTCTTCTAAAGTCCCAAATTGCAAGTGCGTGACTTTCAAAAGCTTGGACACTCAACTTGTCAAGTTTTGAAAGCTTGACCCTCGCGGCCCGCAATTTGGGACGCGGGTTTTTAAGCAGCGGAACCGCCGTGCTGCAGAACTCAACTCAAAATTTCGCGAGGTGGGTGTCCTCATCCTCAAAGCTCTCACGAAAACCCAACCATCTGCCGATGGTACGGCGGCTTGGGAAACAGACCCTCCTCATTGCTGAGAAACCTTCTACACCACTCTGAATCCGTCTAAATCCTGGATTTCACCACTGAACAAGGAGTTGTCACTGATGCTTGTCTTCCTCTCTTCCTGAAGTCCGTTCTGCTTTCCTGAATGCCATTCCTTCTCACAAAAGCTCACCCATGGACTCCTTGAGAAGTAGCTCGCTACGCCAAAGTCCATGGCTGCCGCCAGTTTGTTACCAACCATGAATAATTCTCGTCTCGATCGTATTCTTAGTCTCCGTAATCATCATACATGTTGTTCTCAATGTCGTCAAGACGGAGATTACCGGTTGTTGCAATCCATGGCTCCCGACGCGAATCAGTAATAATTTAATCATCGTTACGAAATTTACCGAGCTTTGCGTCTGATGTTGTCGTAACAGAGACATTCTTAGCTTAGAAGCTATACATTCGGAGCAGTTTCATTACCGTCATCCACCCTTTACTCACAGTTGACTGCACTTCTGATTTCTGTTCTAGACATCTGACGAGCGCGGAACAGAGGTGGTTTCCCGAGGTTCCTTAAACATCTTCTTCCGAGGCGTCGTCGCTCTCCAGCAGCGAGAACGGTTCGATTTGGTAATGACCGAGGTTGATATCGTGCCGGCAACAGCTGCCCGAATGAGCTTACGGGGTTAGCTATGAGCATCTCGGACGTCGAATAGCTAGACGTCGTCATCTAACGGTAGTGACGGAGACGGTGTGTTTTGACGGTGGCGAACGATACGGCCACTTTCAACGGTGATAGCTGAGACGGTCAGTCACGGCCGCTTCTGACGGTGTTGAAAAGTACGATTAGTGCTGACGCTGACGACGGAACCGACAATTTCTGACGGTGACGATCAAGAGTACGATTACTGACGCTGACGACCGAGCCCGACGATATCTAGCAGTGACGATCGACATGATGACTACAAGTGGTGACGGTGAGACTTTCCGACGGTGACGACTAAAGCGACTCTTTCCGAAGGTGACGACCAGGATTGCGATTTGTCACAGTGACTATCAAAGCGATGCTTCTTCGACGGTGACGATTGAAGTGACGTTTTCCGACGGTGAAGATCAGGATTGCGAATTACGTTGACGATCAAGAGTGCGGCTTCTCACGGTGACCGATTTGACCCTTCTCCTGAAGCGACGCTTTCCGTCGGTAACGATCAAGATGGTAACTTCTCACGGCGACAATCGAAGCGCTGCTTTTCGAGACGCAAAACGCTGACCATAACAGAGGCGAATGCGACGCCCGGTCGGAATCGCATTAACAGCAACGAGTGACGCTCATCCGGAGCTGCAAAGTGGGCGACGAGGGACGCTCATCCGGAGCTGCTTCTGTCGCGTGGAAGCACTCGTCACACGGCTAAGTCCCCTTCTCATCTTTATCGCTTCTGGTCCGTGTTTATCAAATTTCACTTTGTACCGCGCTATTTCCTCGAAGCATTCTCGAAAATCAAAGAGTCGTTTTGAAATAGCGTTTGGCGATGGTAGCACATGGCACTTGGAAGGCTTGAGCTCATACTAAAGTCCTAGGAGGGTAGAGTAGAATGCATCCATACTCATGCGCGCGTCCCTTCCTTACCTTGTCCCCCTTGCCTGCTAGCTCGCTGCCCTTGTGCCGTGTGCTACCATCGCCTCCCCTTTCACAGTGTCACAGTGCTATGTGCTTTCTATCTTCAACTTTTGTTTCCGTTAATCATTCGTTCATGTTATCTCTGCCTCTTGCTATCTATCTTGCTTCGACTGACTACTCGAGTTCCTATCCCCCCGCTCGATCCTCTTGCTCTCCTTTCCTGCACCCATCTTGTCCGGTGCTTTGGCTGCGTGGTGCGGGGAGGGAGGTCAATGGGATGATGCACGGCAGGCAGTCACAGCAATGTGCGAGCCTCCTGGAAGCCTTACGCCACCGTCCTGCAAGCACCCCCATACGGCTAAGTTCCCTCTCCCTTCGCCCTTGCCATGCTTGCCGCTTCTGCTTCGTCTTTATGATTGCCCACTGTTGTACTGCGTTCCTTCGTCACCTCGTGCTCGAAACAAACGAGGTCACTTTCGAGCGCGAGCGTTCAAAAGTTGAGAGAGAGATGAGCGGCGATTGGCGATGGTAGCGCATGGCACTGGGGCGGCTTGAGCTCATAGTAAAGTCGTAGGGGGTAGAATGCCCGCGTCTCTTCCTTACCTCGTCCCGCTTGCCTGCTAGCTCGCTGCCTTAGTGCTGTGTGCTACCATCGCCTCCCCTTTCACAGCGTCACAGTGCCACGTGCTTTTCAGCTTCAACTTTTGTTTCCGTTACTCATTTGTTCTTGTGATCTCTGCCTCCTTGCGTCCATTTCACTTCGCTCTTGCTCCCACTGACCACCTTGGGTTCCGTTCCCCCCCTCGACCCTCTTGCCCTCCTTTGCTCCACCCCTCTTTCCGGTGGCAGCGTGGTGCGGGGAGGGAGGGCGGTGGGATGACGCACGGCAGACAGTCACAGCAGTGTGGAAAGCGACGTGCGGAAAGCTACGTGCAGCTTCTGAATCCTGCTAAGTTCCCTCCTCGACCCTTGCACTCCTCCCTTGCCCCCACCCGTCCTTGTCGTTGCACCACTCTGTTGTGTTGCTGCATCCTGCGTTTCACGTCCGAAAGAAATGTGCTCCTGTGAGGCGCATGGCGGCGGTGGGTCAGGGCGCATTGGCAGCTGAGCTCATATAGAGTCCAGAGAGAGAGAGAGAGAGAGAGAGAGAGAGAGAGAGAGAGAGAGAGAGAGAGAGAGAGAGAGAGAGAGAGAGAGAGAGTGGGTGTAGCATAGAGTAGCAGTGCATTCATGCCATGCTCGCGTCTCTCTTCTCCCCAGTCCCCCCTCGCTGCCTTTGCTCGCTGCCGTGCTGCCCTTGGCCCCACCGTCTCCATGCGCCTTCCCCTCCCACCTCTCCCCGACCACTAACTTGCCGTTCCGCTCTGCTCACCATTCACTGCATGCATGCTTGCCGTTTTTTGTTGCATGCATGCTTGCCGTTTTTTGTTGCATGCATGCTTGCCGTTTTATCCTTCTGCCACTTGCGTACCCCCTGCTTATGATATCACTTGTCGTCTCACCTCAACTCTCTGCTCCGTTAACGTGTGTCCCTCTTCTCCTCTCTTCCTGCCTGCATCCCTCTATCAGCGCACCTACAAGGCGGCAGGGCAGCAGCAGGGGGCCAGGAGGAGCAGTGGGAGCAGCGTGGTGAGCGGGAGAGGCGAGCGGTGGGATGCCGCACGGCCTGGGCTGGCCCTGCTGACCACTGCTGCCGAGTTGCTGGACTACTGCACGGAGGGCTGCTGCTGGCCGTGTCAAGATCCCTCTGCTCCTCATGCGACTGCTCGTCACCCGGCTAAGAGTTCCTCATACCCTGTCTTCTTCCTGCTTGTTCTCCTTTCATCTTTCGCTTATCGAATCTTGCCCGAAACAAAAACGTTGCTTCTGCTTGGGAGGGATCAAAAGTTGACAGAGGGACATGGGCGGCGTGTGGCGATGGTAGCACATGGCACTGGGGCGGCTTGAGCTCACACTAGAGTCCTAGAGGGTTAGAATGCACTCACACTCACGCCCGCGTCTCGTCCCCCTTGCCTGCTAGCTCGCCAACCTAGTGCCATGAGCTACCATCGCCTACCCTTTCACTGTGCAACCTGTTGTCTAAAGCCAGGGTCTCATGTAAGCTAAGGAGCCATCGACTGCAAAGCACTTGAAGCTAGGTAACCAAGTTCGTGCTGGCAAAGTTGTCTCTGGTTGGGTTGGAAACTCAGCTTGCGTCACTGCCCCAAAAGCAATTGCACAACACTTTTGGGTACTTGAGACTTTCGATGAGTTGGGGGCATTTTAGGTTTGGCTCCGAACCAAGTTTCCAAGCCTAGATGGTTTGGTTACCCCCAGCGATTT